ACGCCACCCTCGGACACCCCCCCCCCCCATATCCTACCCTGCCCCCACTGTGGCTCCCCAGTCCCCCCATCTGCCACCTCCCCCTCTACCCGCCAGCCCCTCCCTGCCTGGCCTCCTGCCCCCCTCCCCTCTGCCCCCCTAGGCCCCCTCCCCAGCACCACCCTCCCCCCTTCTCACCCTCTGATCCTCTGACCCCAGACCTAGGTACACCCCAGACGTCCCGATTTTATAGGGACAGTCCCGATATTTGGGGCTTTGTCTTGTATAAGCGCCTATTACTCCCCACCCCCTGTTCTGATTTTTCACACTTGCTGTCTGGTCACCCTACACTGCCCACGGCCGTTCCCTGCGCTGGGCACGGACGGGACTGAGGGCCCCAGGCGAGCAGCATGCTGCCGTGGGCAGGGCACTAGGCTGGGAGCCAGGACACCTGGGTTCTCTGCCTAGCTCTGGGAGGGGAGTGGGGGCTGGTGGTTAGAGCAGGGGGGCTGGGAGCCAGGACTCCTGGGTTCTCTCCCCAGCTCTGGGAGGGGAGTGGGGTCTAATGGTTAGAGCAGGGGGGGCTGGGAGCCAGGACTCCTGGCTTCTCTCCCCAGCTCTGGGAGGGGAATGGGGCCTAGTGGTTAGAGCAGGGGGGCTGGGAGCCAGGACTCCTGGGTTCTCTCCCCAGCTCTGGGAGGGGAGTGGGGCCTAGTGGCTAGAGCATGGTGGGACTTTTGGGAGTCAAATGAGTTCTACTCCCAGCTCTGCTATTGCTGCTTTAGGCAAGTCACAGCCCCTCACTGTGCCTCAGTTTCCCCCTCCATAGACCAGGAACAGTGATACCAGCCCAACTTTGTCAAAGTGCTTGGCGATTTCTGGGGGACTCGTGCAAAGAGTTATTTATTATCACTCCTCTTGGAATAACTAATAATCTCTCTTGACGGACCAGTCGTGCGAGCTGTCAGCAGATCTCAAAGCACTTTCCTGATTTATTTGCTTACAGATCAACTGGATGGATCCTGGCACTCTCCAAAATCCACCCGTGCCCCTGAGTCGCCAGGAATATGGTCATTAGTTGCTTTGTATAGGTATCAGTTCCCGCCCTCTGAGCCTCTGTGACTCTGGCCTGCTAAGCAGTGACCCGCCTGGGTTGCCTTGTGCTGCGCGGATCCTACATTCTGTCTAGGGGGCCCTCTGGGCTCACACGACGCGCTGACGGTTCAAGTCAGGAAATAAAAGCTAGAGAACGTTATCGTTCCCCAGATCACACACTGCTTCGCTGCGCGCGCGCGCACACACACACACACCCTCGCCCGGCGCTGAGCACTGCAGCGTCGGTCTGCGGGCAAACGCCGAGGTATGGATGTCCAAGAGAGGTTGGCATTGGATATTTCCACCCGAAATCCTCAGGACGACTTTGAGCTGCTGCAGAGAGTTGGCGGAGGGACCTACGGGGAAGTTTATAAGGTAATTTTTCGGACCCGTTGCGATCGCTTTCCTTTAGACCCCGCTCTGCTGTACGTTGTAGGGCTTGGGTCAGAACCTCCCTGCCCTGCACCTGGTCAATAACACTCTCATCAGGTGCTCTCATGATGAGTGGCAGCAGCATGCCACTAAATAAGATCAGTAGCATTTTCCAGCCCCTGGCATAATGCTCAGTGTAGGGCTGTGGGGAGAGTCAGGCCCCTTTTGCAGGACCCTGACGGTGATTACGGGGAGGGGGGCCGCGTGGTATTTGCGATAGCTTCGTGCTCTGAGACCTGGCAGGGCGAAAGCCTTGATCTCGGGGCGGGGGAAGAGCAAAGAAGATTTAGGAGCTGCACCTGCTAGAATGAAAGTGTCGCCATGACAGTGGGCGATGCGGCCGATAGCACAAGGAGATCAAGGCGGTTTTGCACCCAGCTCCGAAGAGCCAAGCCTGGTTTGTTTGTTTGTTTGTTCACTTGCTACGGTTGTTCTCGGCGGCCAGGAGTTTGAGGCAGGTCTGGGGGAGTTAGTCGACCGACCCCGCTCATGTAGGCTGCTTTGCAAGTCCCAGCCTGAGCTATTGCGTTCAATCTGCACCCTCGGGGCAGGATGGAGCAAAGATACAGAGGGGGGGGGAGATTCTTTCCATGGAAGTGTCTTGACAAGGGGAAGGTCATTGGCACTACTTCTCTCCTTGCTCCCACTGGTTAATGAGCCAGCTTCCCAGCTGGGTACACGGGCGGCGCCAGAGGCCGTGGCCCTGCGTTATCCCTTGACCTGGATTCCCTGTTTCCCTGCGCTTGGCACAGTCATTGACACCAATGCAGGGTGGGTGTGAAACGCCGTTAGCTGAGCAGGGGGCAGTTTGCACCCCTCCATCTGCCCTAGGGTTCAGCATGATGGGGCAGGCTCCCAGGGCACAGCCCTGGTGGCAGGGAGGTTAGAACCAGGCCCGGGGGCTGCAAAGTAGAAAACGTGGATTTGGTTTAAAATGTAACCACATTCGACAGAACGATGGCTGGCGGGGGCGTGATTTTCAAATATGAAAGTAAGCTAAAACGTGGGCACCTCTGGGGTGGGACGTGGCAGCTGTTTCCTACAGGGATCCCTCATGCACCACTGAAATGCAGCCACCTCTGGGGTGGAACGTGGCAGCTGTTTCCTACAGGGATCCCTCATGCACCACTGAAATGCAGCCACCTCTGGGGTGGGACGTGGCAGCTGTTTCCTACAGGGATCCCTCGTGCACCACTGAAATGCAGCCACCTCTGGGGTGGAACGTGGCAGCTGTTTATATAGGGATTGCTCACCCAGTTCAAAAAAAAATGCAGCCACCTCTGCGGAAGGGCATGGCAGCAGCTCATACAGTCATTGCTCACCCAGCACTGAAATGCAGCCACCTCTGGGGTAGAGCAGAGCCGCGGCGTGTACAGGGATTGCTCACCCGGTGCTGGGTGGTCACTAAGGCAGAGATACAGGGAGGCAGCGTCAGAGCTGCCCCACGGAAGGCACCTGCCTGGACGATGTGGGGGGACGGGAGCAGAGAGCTGCAGGGCTGCTGGGCTCGGCTGGAGCAAAGCCATAGGGCGGGGAAAGATATAAAGGGGCAGGAGCGGCCTGGGCCCCGAAATGAGTCAGGAGCCCAGGGGCGCAGTGGGGAGGGTGGTGCGGCCAGGCTGCTGTGTGTCAGCGGGGACGGCAGCCCCCAGCCCAGCCTGGGGGGGTGGGATGGAGCTGGGGCTCTCGGGTTCAGGGAGGAGAGGGAACAGTCCCAGCCTAGGGGGAGCTGGAATGGGCCAGGCAGGCAGCCGCTGTCACTAGCCCAGGCCAGAGGCGAGCGAGGCCCGGAAGCTGCTTTGAGCAGCAGGCGGGTGGAGGCGGGCGAGCGGGGGCAGCACAGGGCGGCCTGCACCTCCCGTGTGACAGCAGCCCCCGTGCAGCCGGAGCAGACCCAGGCACCTAGCCAGCCCCGGGGCCTGCCCTGGCAGGAACAAGCCCTGCTCCCAGCGCGCCCTGCTGCACGGCTGGGCTGGGGGGTGGCAGAGGGCAGCAGCCGGCGGCGCTCGGGAGGCTGTCCTGGATGGGCAGGGGCAAAACGGGGCACCAGGCAGGTGGAGCCAGGCTGGGCAGCTGGGTGCTCTCAGGGGGCCTCGTTTGTGTCTCATTCCGTGGGTCACCTCCCCAGCCCCTGCGGCGCTACCGTGCCTGGGCATGGCCGGGCACTGCTGCTGTGCCCACGCCGTGGGGCTGCCTCCTGCAGCTAGCCCCGCCTGGCAGGACTCAGCAAATCAACTCCCCCCGGTAGGCGTAGGGCTGGGCTGGGGGTCGGGGATTGGCTCCCCGGAGCCTGGCTATTAGGGCAAAGAGCTCTCCCCATGACAGCTCTGCCGGTGCCCCTCACTCCCGCCCCGCAGCCCCTGCTAGCCCAGCCCTGGACTCCCCCCGCCACAGCTCTGCCGGTGCCCCTCACTCCCGCCCCGCAGCCCCCGCCCCCAGTATGCCAGTTTGCGTTACTGCACTGAGCCTTCCTGCAGCCACCACGCTCCTCAGGGTGAACTTGCAGGGCCCTGCAGCGGCTGTTAGCAGCCGGGGAACTCCCGGCCACCTTTCCTGGCGGTGCGAGCGAGCGGCAGCTCACAGCTGTGCACAGCCCTGGCTCAGGACCAGGCCCTTTAGGGGAGCTCTGGGGGCCTGTTCTGCAGCCCCCGACCCTATTCCTCCCCAGAGCAGGTCGCAGGTTCCCCCCCTTCAGTGCTGGAATGCTCCCTTCACAGGCGGGGGGGGGGGATTTCAGCCCCCAGGGCCCAGGCAGCCTCTGCCAGCGGAGGGGGTGGTCAGTGGTGGGGGCTGGGTTGGTCCCTGGCTGGGATCCACCCAACTCATGGCGCAGAGGGGCCGGTTGCATTCCTGCCCAACGGCCTGGCGTGCAGCGAGTTTGCTGGGTCTCAGCGTGCTTGGCCATATCTGCGCCCCCACTGGCCAGCCCCCACCTTGGCCGAGAAGCCAGGGATAGGATGGGCCATGGAGACACAACACCCCCCCCCCCCGCCCACCGGTGGGTGCCTGGGCAGAGTACCTTGCCTCTGCCCACTTGGACTACAGGGCATGCCCAGGAGGTGACAGCTGGGGCCAGGCCCCAGGGTGGGGGGGCTGAGGTGGGGGCGTGCTGGGCCTTAGACAGCGGCGGGAGGGGACAGGGCCGGTGCTGAGGGCGGGAGGCTGTTGGGGGGGGATCGTGGGTGCCTGGGGTCTCTCGGCAGCTAGTGGCAGGATGCCCTCTGCGCCAGTGCAGTATGGGGAGATCCCGCTGAGCCGCTCCTGCCTGGGGTCGCACAAGTGCCCCGGGGACCCCTGGGCTGCCCTCTTGGGTGCTGGATGTCTTGTCCTTGGGTGGCTGGCACGGGTCGTTCGCACGCGGGCAGGAGCGAGGCCCCGACGTGGCCGGGCTCCCGGGTTTGCGATTCAGCCATGGGCTTTGACAAGCTCGCTGTGTGGGAGGGCAGGGCCAGCCAGGCTGGGTGGTTCAGGGCGTGGCCATGCCCAGATCTCGCCCGCCCGACACTGGCCTCCGGGGGATCGGGGCAGCAGCTGCCCTCCTGCTCCTGAGAAGTTTCCTGCAGGAAACCCGGCTGCTGCCCAGAGAGTGACAGGGCCGGAGGAGCCCTTCCCCCGCTGGCCGCCCGGGGTGTGTGCAGAGAGAGAGACACTGAGAGGGCCATGCACACGCACAGACATACAGACACACACACACTGCATGGGCCACGCACACGCACAGACATACAGACACACACACACTGCATGGGCCACGCACACGCACAGACATACAGACACACACACACACACACTGCACGGGTTACGCACACACACAGACATACAGACACACACACACTGCATGGGCCACGCGCACGCACAGACATACAGACACACACACACTGCATGGGCCATGCACACGCACAGACATACAGACACACACACACTGCATGGGCCACGCACACGCACAGACATACAGACACACACACACACACACTGCACGGGTCACGCACACACACAGACATACAGACACACACACACTGCATGGGCCACGCGCACGCACAGACATACAGACTCACACACACTGCATGGGCCGTGCACATGCACAAACATACAGACACACACACACACACTGCATGGGCAGTGCACACGCACAGACATACAGACCCACACACACCACATAGGCCATGCTCACACACAGGCATACAGACACACACACACTGCATGGGCCGTGCACACACACAGGCATACAGACACACACACACTGCATGGGCCGTGCACATGCACAAACATACAGACACACACACACACACTGCATGGGCAGTGCACACGCACAGACATACAGACACACACACACACACTGCATGGGCCGTGCACACGCACAAACATACAGACACACACACACACACTGCATGGGCAGTGCACACGCACAGACATACAGACACACACACACTGCATGGGCAGTGCACACGCACAGACATACAGACACACACACACTGCATGGGCCGTGCACACACACAGACATACAGACACACACACACTGCATGGGCAGTGCACACGCACAGACATACAGACACACACACACTGCATGGGCCGTGCACACACACAGACATACAGACACACACACACACACACACACACACACACACTGCATGGGCAGTGCACACGCACAGACATACAGACACACACGCACACACACTGCACGGGTCACGCACACACACAGACATACAGACACACACACACTGCACGGGCCACGCACACAGACATACAGACACACAAACACACTGCATGGGCCGTGCACACTCACAGACATACAGACACACACACGGGGACACACGCTGGATGGGCCCTTCGCACACACACAAACACAGACTGCATGGACCATGGACACGTATATACAGATACACGGACATGGATACACTGCGCACACACCCATAGACATACAGACACACACATGCACGTACTATGGG